GGTTTACCATGTGTATAACCAAATTTAAACACCATGGTTAAACTATGGTTAGTGTAGCAAAACCCGGGTTTATTTGTGGTTTATTATGGTTTAACTACAATTGCGATTTTTTTTTTTTTGTAATAAAACCATGGCTAATTTTTGTAATAGCATTTTCAGTGTTTGAAATGGTTGAATGAATGTGTGGAAACTGCCTTAAAGAAATTTAATGATGCTAAACATTTAATTAATTTTAAACAGTAACGCGTTGGCAGTGCGACTACTTTGAATATTCATATTTTGGCATTACACACAGTGAAATGATTGTGAATTAAAAATGACACAGACTAGTGACATATTTACATAGGCTACATATTTTTAAACATATTTAATACAGATAAATAAAGGTTAATTCGATCTAAGATCTCACACACACTGCAGCGTCGCGATCACTAGTTTAGACACTGTCACCCTGTGCTGAAACAGTCATAAAGAGACACAAAGAGAACTGCTGCAGTCACATTGGCAATGTTTTGCAGCAGCAAAGCCAAATAAATGAAAGCGACTGTTGGCAATGCAAACAACGCGAGCGGAGTTCAAATCCTGCTTCACATAGCTGTAAACTAAAAACCGAGTGATCTGATCTGCTATCGCTTCATGCATCAATTGGTGTTTGATTATTATTTTTGGCCAGAATAAGCTGCAATGTGGAGCAGACTTCATGGCAAAAGTCTGAGTCTGTGACACTAGCCAAATCCTGCACCGTTTGTCTCGGTAATAGACCTCAGTCATGGCAGCGCCATATTTAATGTTTGGCGGGAATGAAAATGAGGCTGTGAGGGACTGAAGCACATCATAGTTTAGCAATAGTTTAACGTCTTTCCAAAAGACTTCCAGTCGAGCATTTCAGTTGTGAGTTCTGAAAGTGACGTGATCTAGGACTCTGTCTTTGTCGTCCGTGTTACATTTAACATGTTATCTGTACTATTAGGCAGTTCTTGATCGCAGAATAAATCATGGGTGACAGCTGTTGAATTTTTGGGGGGTTTTTTGTGCCACACTTTGCTGAAATTACAGACTTCTTGCTGGATTCTTGTTGTGTTGCACCTGGTTAGGACACGCTGTTATTCCCAGTTTGACCCCTTGTAAGTTCTCAACTGATCTACAATTGGAAAAATAAATAATTTTACCTTAACTACCCCAGTAGTTTTATTATTTAATAAAAGCACAATGAATTATGTATTGTGTATACGTATGTAGCGTCTGGACCAATCAGACACACCATTTTTCATTTGATTTAACAAATCAATTATTCATTAGATTAACAAACGTTCACAGACCCCTCACCCAATACACATACTGGGTTCCAAGTTGTCTGGGAGCAAGGACCCGGACCCTGGTAACCATGGCAACCCTGACACCAGATACATTTACGACCTAATGGAATGCGAGTAGGGAAAATCACTGCCTTTGAATTAGAAAGAGACACAGTGCCCAGTAGAAATGGACTCTTTTCTAATTAATCCATAGGAAAACCTTTCTTTGAATGAACAGTGTATCCTTCAGGTCATGGTGTATGTTGTCTTTGATATTTTTATACTGTTTTATGCAGGCTTATGATGGAAACACTCATTCCTGTCATCTTGCCTATATGTAATCCTACCATGTTTAGTATCTATGAAGTCGGACCCCTTTTGTTTGTTTTGTTTGACTTTTACCTTATTTTAGTTATTTTACCATCACCGTTTTGTATAGGATTACAGTAGTTCTAGCAACTGTTGTTTCCGTAATGAGTTATACAGGTTATTAGTAGCTACAGATTTATGCTACAAGCTTTTGTAGAATTGTACAGTAAGGAAGTTATTTCCCTTAACCAGGAAATTAACGTTCTTAGAATTGACAAGACAGTTGACCCTGAGAGGTCAGCTAAATATCTACAGCGGATCTAAAATATTCATAATTAATTATAACTAGTTATGATTAATTATTCATATTTCCCATGAGCTGATTCGTTACACGTAATTTCCAAAAATTACAGTATGGACCAAAAAAATGTTAAGGTGTCTTAAGGTTTGCATTTGACCCTACCAAATATACTGAAATAAAAGTTAAAGTATTCTTCATCCTCTTTGGCATTATGCAGTGTAGGCGATAAAGAGAAGCATTGGAATGATGGTCAGCATTGTTTTCTGAGGTTATTCAAAGGTATATTTGCTTGAAGCCAGCAGTCAGTATAATTTCAACAATTAAAAAAAATAATAATAATTGCAATAATTAGCCAAATACCAGTGAAGAACTACACTACTTACAAACCCTAAAGAGAGCTGTCAATCAGACAATTGCAGCTAAGACACCAAGACGAGAGAAAAAAATAGTTACTGCTGTTTACCTGTATTTGTGCACTTAGTGTACATTTATGTGTCATGTCATATTGTCACCTAATTGAAATCGTCATTGATTTTGTACCACTTTTTTGTGTTTTTTCTGTAATCAATTGAAGCTTATTTCCGTCACTGAATAAAAATGGTAATTGAGACTTTTTAGCATAGCATTTTGTCTCACAATCTCACAACAGACATTTCTTCGAGTCCATAGCTCGCGGTTGCAAGCTATAAATTCATAAATGTGAGTTTACATCTAGCAGTTCTGGATGTGTTCTTTATTTTTCTCTAAATACTGAATCTGTGTCTCGCAATTCAGTTTTTGTTTCCAGCACGAAATTAAAAAAAGAAAAGATAATTGCAATTTTTTTTCCTCATAATTCTGACATTTTTCTTTGAATTTTTACTTCACATTTTGCGATTCTGTTTTTTTTTTTTTTTTTGCCACAGAATAAAAAAGGTAGTTGCAACTTCTTATCTCGCAATTCAGACTTTTCATTTCAGAATTGCGATTCTATATGTTTTCGCAAGAAAAGGGAATTGTGGAATATAAACTCAAAATTGCAAGACTATGTCAGAATTTGAGATAAGTCTGTTTATTTTTATCTTGTGTGGAAACAAGCTTCCGTTGTAATCTAATGATCTTAAGTTTCAATGCAGTTAGCTTCTTTTGGTTGTAGCTTGGCATGCGATTTTTACCTTGTGCTTAAACTATTTTAAATTAGCTTGTAACTTGTCAAGCTAGATGTTTACCCAACATTTAGACATACACAAATGAGCATGCGTGAAGGCATACTAGCATGCTCACACACGGAATCATTCTGCTAACCATCTTTCTGTGCTATAAAAGGCACAAAATTCAGCACAATAATCTGCAGTTGATTTATTTGGGTTATTCTGGAGTGTCTAAAGCTGTGTGTGTACTGTACTGTACTGTACTGTATTATGCACATTCAGCATGTTATGTCACTGATGCAGATGATCATAACAGACTCTCAGTGGGACACGAGGCACATATTTAACAACTCAGAGCACACATTTATCTGCCCACTCCCTGCTTTCTGCCTCATGGCTATTTTCAACCCTTTGCGAAAGAACTGGGTCAGCTGTGTCATCCAGGGCTGATGTTACACACTCACAAACAAGCAAAATACACACAGATACATTTCAGCTCAGAATTTTACATTCTCATTACACAAACTACAAGATGTTTATCATTGTTTTATGAGGGGTTTTAAAAAATGAATTATTTAGATCCTGATGAAACTCTTCGATGTAAGAGATGTACATATATTGAACGAGACAATAACTGAATTTGAAATGTACATACAGTAGCCATTGGTTCTTAAAGGTTTAGTTCACACACAAATGTAAATTGTCATCATTTACCCACCGTTCCAAACTTATCTTGTAAAAAAAAAAAG